ACTTTTATTAACTTTATTCTTAGATTAAAAAAGTATAATTATATTTTCCAATATCGTTTACAGCTGAAGTGGCTTACTTGTCGCCAAGGGCATCAATCCGTAAATTTTCCTGTTTTTTTTTTCACAATATTGAATGAACATACTTCGCGTTCATATCTCAAGAACGATACATTCCAATATCTTTCCTCTACTCACGAGAATATACTCGCTGTTTGGCAAACAGTAAGATTAGCATTCCGAATCATAAATCTTGCGTTGTCCTTCACCTTTCAGGCTGCATTACCCTGTCTGCAGATATAAAAAAAAACATCTAGGAAGAGATTTGCACGTGAATATTTTGAATAGTAATTATGTGTCTACGTTTCTTAAATCAAATGTATTATTTGAATAAAGATTGAAAAAATTAAGTAATTAAAATGTACTTGTATAATAAATGTGCAAATTTTAACTGAACAAAATTACTAGGACCAAGCAAAACTGATAGGCGTGAAAGTTGTGGTTATAATAGGCGCCAGGGCAGCCCGCCCTCCTACGTTGATAATAACCTGCGATAGGTGGTCTGCACCTAGTTGTTGTTCATAAATTAAGAATTTGTATTACGTTATGCGTGGTCACTTGCACTAATATAATACGAAAATCATCAACTATTCAAAACCGTGTATATATACTATATATTTGATGTATGTTCACAAAAATAAAGATAGTTTTAGTAAAAAAGTGACATACACTCTGTAAACACTAGGAACAAACACAAGCTGGTGCTACCAGTTTCTCGACACCACAGAGTCAGTAATTCATTCTTGGGGCAATGTATACGCTATTACAACGAAGTCTCTATTACCAAGTTTAAATGTTTAATTAAACAAAAACTGTATAAAAAGGGTTATTATGAAATAAATGATACATGGTTGATAATAACTCCTGGGAATAAGGTGGTTGCTTTCAAGCTGTTTCTAAAAAAAATTTTGTAAATATTCTGTGACCCTTGACATTGTAAAATTTATTTTAAAAAAAAAAGTCCCGCTGGGTTTCTTGCTGTTTCTTCCCAGGACAGAGGTTTTTTTTCGAACCAGTGGTAAAGTAAAATATTGATTTTCAATAAGAATTACTTTAATCAAAATAAATCAAATAAAGATAACAATGATGCTTATGATAATAATCTTAAACTAAGAAGAGCACTGTTGTCCGTCTTTTATATGAAGCATAGGTCTAAAATATACATTATATAAATCCCACAGCTGGTCTTTCATTTCTGTGAGGATTTTAGTTCGCCGCGCCACCGCAATACGTATTTATTTATACATATATTTATTCTTTATTGCAACCTTTTCTATATAGTATAAAAAAGTCGCTTACCACCGTCTGTACGCTTCGATCTTTAAAACTACGCAACGGATTTTGATGGCTTCATCAAGAGACAGAATTATTCGAGGGAAAAGTTTATATCTATAATACATGCATACGTTGTCGAGATCCAAAAATCACGCCGAGCCGGGGAGTATTGCTAGTGTCAAATGAGCTCTTTGTTTCAGAGAGCACGAGGGATCTGTGACAGTGTAAACACCTGGTTGCCGAGCTCCAACATGTCAAGTAGGTTCCGCATGACAACAAACTTCTGGTCCCGAGCCTACGATACATTGAACGAGTGAAATCGGTCACGGTCGATCGTGTAACTGCTGTACTGCCATATGTCAGAGTTGTCACTGACAAGATTGGCTATATCTTGAAGCGTGCTTCCATTAAAACATACTTCAAACCGCCGAAGAAGATTAGTCAGTTTTTACCATCGGACAAGTGTAATGTCCATCTGCAAGATGCAGGAGTGTACGAGCTTGATTGTGAATGTGGTCTCTCTTACATAGGATGAACTAAAAGTTCAATAAAAACACGCGTTAAAGAATACATAGCTGCTGTAAAGAATCGACGCTCCCGGAAGTCTGCAATCACGTACAGGGTCGCCCCCGTCACTACATCAGATTTGATAGACCACAAATCCTCGCTAAAGAACACCGATTCTTTCCAAGGATGATTCATGAATCAGGCTATTGAAATCAAAAAACATCCTAATTTCAATAGAGAAGATGGCTGGGTACTACCATCTGCTTGGGATCCTGTAATTAATAAATTAAATCCCAACTCAAGCATACAACTGCAAGACTTTAGGATACTATAAATTCATACTGCGCAGATCGAACAAAAATTTATAATTTTAATCCGGAGGTAGCCGTGGTTAACTATGACATTGGGACGTTGAACACCTTAGTCCTACTCGTGACCATGGGCGCTGTAAAATGCTGGAACCGTCGGGAATATGTAATAAGTAATATACGCGATAAAATTCGTAAAAGCTAGTTTTTTAAAGTATAATAACAAAGATAAATATATACATTTATATATTATTTAGATTATGTTAAATAAAAATACCAAATCACGCATCGTATCTATATATACAAACATACATATATAAGTATAATACTTATTGAAAGTCACTTTTTTCATTTACCACTGGTTCTGAAAAAAACCTCTGTCCTGGAAAGAACCAGCAAGAAATCCAACTGACTGAATCATCACGATATCTCTAAAACTATACAACCAATCGACTTCAAATTTAGTATATTTACTCAATTTAATTCATGTGTCTTATTTATAAAAATAGTTCCAAACAAGAACCCCGCAAGGGCACTGCAAATATTGGCAACTATTATTATTTTGGGATATAAGTAGTGTATTCTCATCTGGTTGGGCTGAATAAACATATAAAAGGAAATATATTTCATATACCAGCACAAATAAATAAATAATACATAAATAAATAAAAGCCCAACCAGACGGAGGCCCTCGGCAGGGGAGACCAAACGGCCGCGGGTTAGGGGGAAGGGAGAGAAACCGGCGGACGATGCGGGTGGTATCGAGGAGCACCGACTTCTGCATTTGAGCCTGGAGCGGTCCGTCACGGAGGATAAAGGGGTCTTCCAGGGCGATGAGTCCAATCTGGTTCTGCCTCTCTTTGAACCCCCTCCCCTCCGGGTTTCACTCGAAAAGACCACCAATGCCCCCCACCACCAAAGCAATCCAGCCTCCTTAGATGACCCGAGAGGCTAACTGGGATTAGCCCGTTTGCAGAAACGACTGCAGGAATAATTTCTGTCGGCAGACCACCCCACATGTCGGTCACCTCGTGAGCCAGGTCCAGATATTTTGTTCGTTTATCTGTTTCGGCTTTCACGATGTTCTCGTCATACGGAATGGTAATGTCGACCAAAAATATCCCTGACTGTGCCCGGTCCATCAAGCACAATATCAGGCTTATTCGCAAGAATAGTCCTGTGTGTGATGATGGCCCGATCCCAGTAGAGCCTAGCGCGATCATTTTCGAGCACGGCTTCCGGCAAGTACTTACAAGTACGTATTACAATACGAAAATTTCCGGTCCACGAGACCGTATTTCAGAGCGAGCTCCTGGTGAAGAATTCTGGCTACTAGGTTGTGCCTGTGCAAGTACTGTGCGAACAATCGGAGATGACATGCCTAAGTGACACCGGGATGGCGACAAGCTTGACAGATGTCGACGATGCCATCCTGTAGGATGTATCTCCGAGTGTTGGTCTTAATAACCTGATCCTGTATTGCACAGACAAAACCCTCGGTTTCCCCGAAGAGGTCACCAAAGCGTAGCCAGTGGAGGGAGGCTACTGTGTCTACAAAAGGCTACTTGTAGAACCTCCCGTGGAGCTCCTTCTCCTTCCATACGGTCTGCCGATCGGAAATGCTCTGCACTGCCGGGTCTTGCCATTGCTCGTTGGCTAAGGATAGAGGGGTAAGTCCTTTATCACAAAAAATGACGTCCTTATAGAATGGATCATCCGATCTCGCCAGGAAGTAATTATGGAGGCTGCACACTTCGCGATTATGCATAGTGAGCGCGCCGAAAAGGCCACACCCACCATGCTTTCGCGGCAAGTACAGCCTCATTACCGACGATCTCGGATGATTCATCCTATGGGACGTCATAGTAGTGTGGACTTTTCTATCCAGGGCGTTAAGTTCTGACTTTTGCAAAGGTATACATGAGGACAAGCATGACCCAACCGTTATATGCGTCTTATTCACACCAGAAAAAATTTGTTGAGCACTTTGGTCAAGCGTGCATAAAACACGTCGCAAACTGACTGTTTCATACCAGCCTCATCGATACTGATGTTCTGTGACACACCCAAGTATCGGTATGTTTCAGCCTCGAAAAGGGTCCTTAAACTGATGGGTAGCAACCCTTCCCCTTTCAACATGGAGGACGGCACACTAATCCGTCCCCAGCTCCATTTCAATAGAATTGCTAAATTCACAACCACACCCACCAGGTACTTGTACCTCCTTCTGAAGCGAAAACCCTGGGTTCAAAAGGCAAACCAGATTGACAACAATCCCCTGGAAGATACCCCTTCTTATCCTTAGCTTTCCGCAGCCATCATCCGCTCGCCCAGGTGACAAAGGATCGTACTTCATTGCCCCATAAACTGCTCCAGGAAGTCTCTAACTGTATAGTCAATTTAGCTCGAGGACCCTCTATATCTATGTATGGGGCACCGAGTTTAATGCCTTTCTGTAGTCTATCCAGGCAGCGGAGAAGTTCCGACGGTTGCGTTTCACCACTTTGCCAATAACCGCGTCAATGAGGAGTGGTTCCTTGGTTCCACGACCACCGCCCCGACATCCATTTTGAGCGCGCGACATCACCTGATTTGAGTCCAGGTGACGAGTGATTCTCGCGCTCAAAATGGATGTTAGTGTCTTGTATATGGTCGGTAGACACGTGATGGGGCGGTATTTGCTCGGGTCTGTGGTATCCTCTTCTTTAGGTACCAAATGAGTGATCCCAGTAGTGAAGAGGCTCGGGAGGGACTTCTGGTTGAGAGCCTCTTGAAACTGTCGGGCGAGCACAGTGTGACACACCACAAACCCCTTCAGCCAGTAGTGATGCAGCCCGTCGAGTCCCGGAGTTTTCAGTTTGGGGCCCTACGGACTGCCTCAGCTACGTCATCCGGCGTTATAATGACGGGGTCCATGGGCGTTATACTCGCACACTGACTCGCCACAACTTCCGTCCAAGAGCCCTCGCTATGGTTTACGGGCTCTGACCACAGGCCGCGCCAGAATGTTACAGTGTCGGCCTGATTCAGTGCTGGGCCCGTTCCACTTGCCATTGGTCGCTCCAATGATTCATAGAGCCTCTTCTGATCACTCTGGAAGAGACGATTCTGGTTGAACCGAGTCGACCTCTCGGTATATCGCCGAAAACTGATGGAGCGCATAGATGATCCGAAGCAGAGAATCGCTGCCTGGGGAAAGCGGCCCCAAGCAGCAATTATCTGCTTCGGATCATCTATGCGCTCCATCAGTTTTTGCATTATATCCGGCTGGAACAAGCTGAAATTTGTCCCAGCAAACGCCATCCTGACGGTGCGCACAATTCTTGGCCTGTTATTGCCTGATCTGAAGCATATCAGTCTGCCGATGAGAGCTCTAGCCTTCGCTATACGCTCCTTAATTCTTTTTCTCCATGCTGGGATAGCGCTACTTTGGCCAGTAGCGCGTCCAGCCGTGGAAGCCTTGGCACCTATGATACGGCAGACTGCCAGCACGGTGCCAAAAGGCATTGAGTCCGTATCGCAAGGGTCCCGGCTGGCTTCGAAATAGGTCACCAGCATTGGGTTCAGAGCCCTCACGACAGTCCGATTCCGCTTGCTTAGGGTTATTCGGGGAAGTCGCGGTATTTTCGAGAGGCGTACTGCACGTTTCCACAATCGCCTATTATTATTATTATTATGACATTTACATTATGGAATTATTAATAAAATTATCAATTAATAAATATTTATAATTAACTTAACTATTAAAGAGATCATACTATATTATATATTCCTATTTCCTACTTAATCACTAAAAAACTCAAATCGCAATGCAAAAAAAAATTCTTGATATTTCACATCTAGGTTCCGCAATAAGATAATATATTGCGCCCAGCGAAGCGAGCGGGTGGTATCAGCTAGTAGGTACTATATAAAAATAAATACATTCATATTACAACACCCAACGACAAGACGCTATTCATTAACAGTAGGTTGACTCAAAAATACTCACGTACTAACCTCTTGAAGGATTCCCTTACTCAGTGGCGAAGCTTCTATAAAAGCCGAAAAGCCGGGCTTGCCTTATTAAAACTGAATCAACTAATAATATCAATCAATAATATCAACTAATAAAATAACTCGAAAAAGGTTTCAAGCTATTTCAAATTTCCCGCGAACTCCACTGTTCGACACATGTCGACCGATGACCTCGTATTGCCTTAGCGATACTGCTGCCGTCATAAAAAATGAGTTTTAATAGAGCGACTCTCATAGTTGTCTCCCTTGCTCGCGTGGGCTTTTTACGGGGCTTTCGAGAAGACGATCGCTCTCTTTCTAACCTATGGCAAAATATTCTATAATGAAATATAACTATGATTGTATATATAGCAATTAGTATGGAGATTTAAAGCCAGGCTTTTGGGAATAAATTTGTTAAAAGCGGAGGCGCGCGGGCAATACGTTTGCAAGTTCATTTCACGTTTCAATGTTTATTTACTCTGTGTGCTTATCTTAATATTACGAGTTCAAAATTTATGCTTTTTTAAAGATTTTTAATGAAAATGGAGGATAATCGTGTTCCTTGTGATGAATTGAAGAGTGTTAAAGTGCTAATCGGAGAGGAAATCTTTAAACTTTGTTGAGATAATACACGAGGTTAAGAGTGTATTTCAGACTTACCTATCAATTATCGCAATTAAAAAACAGTTATTGGTACAATTAAAACGTTCACCAACATTTTACGTGGACGTAATTAAATCTTTCCATAAGAAAGCGAGACGATTCCACTTATCTTATCTCTTATCCATTAGAATGTAAATAATTTTTTTTTTAATTTTGTACATTGTTTGTACTTTGTTCATGTTTTACTTTTGTTCATGTATTGTATTGGATGTAAATATTTTTTTTCTTTCGCTTAAACAAACCCAAACGGTTTTCTTCAAAGCCACCGAAGCTATGCAATTGCTGATATGTAATACAATCTATCTAGCAGTGGTATGCCTTCTGTGTGCTTTGTTAAACACGTCCTTGACTGCACTGAATATAAAACTGAAGCGTGGAGACAGATCAAGATTGGTGTATTTTTATAAAACTGCTAAAAATAACAATCTATATTTTTATCAATTTATATCTTGGGCTTGCCCTAGCTTGGAGCTCCAGCTTCGCCACTGCCCTTACTAGGTGTTTTTTGATATTTGCAGACAGAAATGTGCAGCCTGGAAGGTGAAGGAATTCGTCAAGAATTTGATTAAATGTTTTGGAATGCTATGTGTATCGTACTGTCTGACAAAGAGCGAAGTACCCTAACGTGAGCAGAGAAAAGATATTGGAATGTATACTTCAATTAATGTATAGTCAATATTGAGAAAAGAAAAAATTCTGGATTGCCTTTGTTTACAGCTGAAGTGGCCTAGCTACTTCAGCTGCAAACAGTATTGGAAAATATGATACTTTTTTGTAATATTAAATTGAATTTAATACAGTTATTAAGGAGGAGTTACAGCTTATTAAGAAGGCGCAATACGAGCACGTGCACATTTTAAAGTGGGAAATTGGATTATTAGCTAGAATAAAAATGTAAGACAGTGATACCGTTCTTTAGATATATCATCTAAGAATAATTCGATACCAAATAAACTGTTAATTTAGTATCACGCAACCTTCAAAGTAATACTAAGAAGTGACTTAGCAATGGGACGTATGTAGAACATTTTTTTACTTTTTTGTCAACTTTGAGAATTGAGAAGTATTTTTTTAATTAATGATTCAGTTTTCGGTTCTTATCATGTCCATTATATGAAACCCAAAAAATATTTTATGGAACGTAAGGAGACTTGTTCTCGAAACGTCATAACAAACTACCGATCGACAAATACCCATTACAATTGCGTTTTAGAAATCTGTATTTTTGCATTGCATTGCATTCGAAAAATTCTTAACCCAAATATCAGAGACTGGTGCTTGGTAACAGAATTACCAGTGCGAAAGAATTGTTGTGGTGCTAGTCAATACAACTGCCCAACGCTGTGACTATGGGCTAATTATCTAAAACGGTTGCTTCCCTTCAGTTGCTGCAGTTTGAAAAGATACCTTTAATTTTCAAGCTAAAGATGGGTAAAGACTTTAAGCAGTGGATTTGTAAACGCTGTATAAGTGTGCAATTCATCATTACCATGAGCCCAAGAAATGCAATAAAGCACGGGCCTGAACCTGAGCCACCGTCCTTATGTCTGTTACTCTGGTTCTACTGCGGATATTATGTCACAGAAACTCCTAGTATGAAGTTTCCATAGCTGGCTTTAAAGAACTTGTGCTTTTTCATACGGCAGATGTGAAGGACCACGTCCAAATGTCATCAATTGCAACAGGCACTGTTTTAGTGATGCTGTTGTTTAAAGCCAATCAAAACAAAAAAAATATGCTGACCTCTTATTTTTCTTACAATTTTAAATCTTATTATATAATGGACTATAACCCGTTAGTAAACATTTATATAAAGAATAGACATGAGATTGATTAAAATAAACAAGATGCAACATTAATGAATCATTGTTAGCATGTGGCAACATGCAACACTTATATTTGCGAAGTTATATATCAAAATTATTGCATATGTTTAAACGACCGATATAAATCACGCTAACAAGGTACGCTTGTACTCCGCACGCACGAGCAAGCACTTCTTATCCTTTTGTGTACGGATAACCGCAATATTCCTTCTCGATATATCCGCTAATGATTTGGGTAAGAAAATGAACTACATGCAACGGTAATGCGAGTTAAGGGTGAGAAACAAGCACACAGTCCACCTGAAGATAAATGGATGATGTGACTCATAAACAACTATATAACTAAACAAAATAACCACTCTCGATTAAGAATCAAAATGCAAATGCGTTGTCACCCCTGAGCTGAGATGACATTCACAAATTTAAAAAAAAAAACTTGTTACTGATTTTAATAGGTCTTTAGTTCTCATTATTCACAATACGTATTTAAAACACAGGAGCACTGTGACGCTTAGTGAAGGAATGCTGTGTGAACTTCGCTTTGCATTCATTTTAGCTATAAACGCCACCCATTCGTAATGAAGCCCTAATAGACAACGTACCTACCTGTATCACGTTGCATTGCAATTCACAACCGGGCAATTTTCTGCTATATATAACTACATTAACGCTGAAACGATATTACTTAATTGAGCCTTCCTATCATAGGCAACCATTGACTTTCCAATAACATTTACATTTTAAATTAACCTCTCGAATATTGAAGAGGTAACTGTGCTTGATACGAAGCTGTGCAGCACGTGGCGCTCCTAAGCAAGTATGCAAATTCGAGCGCGCATGTGGGCTTGTGCATCCGACGTACGCGAACTTACGCACACTAACGCACCCCGTTTCCATTCATAAAAACAAGGTACTATCTAGCAATGAATTAATCGCGACATTTGAATATGTTTACTCTTACAAAGGAAACGACCATTCAAAAAACACGCCCGAAAAACAGGTTTGGCACGTGTCAATGAACGATGGGAAGATTTTGGACGCCATCGTGAAGCTTGGTCGTCGGGTCGGATGATTGAAGCAGTTTAATAGAGGGTCGTCTCGATACTTACTTTATATCAATTATAATTTAATGAATCTAAGCGACAGAACGACTTTTGATATCCATTACTTTCAAAACTTAATTTAAATTGTATAATTTACATTAAAAAATATAAAACGGTTATACGGTGAGATTAATATTTACTAGAATTGAAATCTATCAATGTCTTCTAAAATATCCATTCAATAGAATTATATATCTGACAGATTTAATAAATTAATGCATTTCAAATGAAAATGACTACGTTGTCTATGCTTTCCTATTAAAGCATTTATGTTGATAAATATTTTAAAATAAACAGGACGAATCGGTAAAGCGTTAAGTATAAAATACAACATTTATTGTTAACACGTTTTCTTTTCACTTTGTTACTACACAAAGTTTTAAATAAAGGGAAATAGTAACTTTGCACGATACGGTACATGGTGTTTATTTAAAATTAAGGTTAAGTGAACCTGCAATCTCTTTACCAATTCAATTAAAGCTACTTCGAGCGGAATAGAAAGAATATTTTATTAAATGGAATATGAATGAATGAATGAAATATACTTTATTGTATACCAGAAAATATAAGAGAGAAAAAAACAACAAATTATTTAAAGGTACAATTTGCGGCCTTCTCACTTAGAAGCGCTCTACCAGGCAACCATTGCAGAGGATATAATGATCTGTGGGAAAGGATAAGGGTGTACGTAGGTTTTTGAAAAATACACACGGTATAAATATAAGTACATACTTGATAAATACATATGTAATACGAGGGTGGATTGAAAAGTACTCGGCCTAACACAGATCCATTCAATTCTAAAAATCAAATCTACCCACATTATTTAATTCAGTTCAGACTAGTTCATTGTGTGAAGTTCGAAACGTGTGCGATAATTAGTTGTGATTTTATAAATTTATTAACAAAGTAATCGGACATAATTTCCGCGAATGGAGCAAATCGAGCAGCGTGCCGTCATTAAGTA